GGTAGTTAGACACTTTAAACATGTTGATTTTGAGCATACATGTTGAGTGTGATCAGAACAAACAAGTTAGAGGCTCAAGACAAGTTGACTTTGTGATTAAAGTCACTTTTCCAAAATGGAAGTGTGAACTTTGTTCCTTAAATGGTAAGGTAACTTGGACAATGCTTGAATCACTTGGACAATGACTCAAAAGTTTGTGTAATAAACTGATTGTGGATATATTTAGAGGTTAAGGGGCATACAAAGCAATATTATTCAACATACTTGAAGATTTGATCATAAGGTTCATCACAAAATGACCTAAAATTCAAGAATGAATGCTCAACTTCTTCTCTTCGATTCTCCTAGCTCAAGCATGATCTCTTCAAGTTCTTGGACATTTTGTAAAGCTTGAAACATTCTCTACAACCCTCATGTTTACCACTTTGGCTAAGTCATCTTGGAGCTTGGTGAAAAATGGCCAATAAGTTAGGACTAAAATCTGCCTAAACTTGTTGAAAATTTCACTAAGTGTTTTGTAAAAATGTCATGACTTCATGAGCCTATATCTTTAAATATAAGCATTTTTTGGACATCAACCCTCAAGGAAAAAGTTGTAGAATTCATCAAGATCTACAACTTTCATGTTGGAAGTTTTCCTTGAATCATCTTGCATCTTAGTGAAAAATTGCCATGAAGTAGTGAAATTATCAAGGTCAAAAACACTTAGAATTTTTCGAAGTGTTGGAAACTTTGACTTTTTGTAGACTTTTCTTGATTTTCTTGATTCTTGATGATCAAATTTGATATTTTTGAATATATTGATGAATCTTGATCTTTGAAATTAAATGTTAACCAAAAAGTCAAAGTTTGGCTTTTTGTGTATCAGTTGACTTTTCATCAGTTGATCAAATTTCAACTATCAATCCATTGATCTTGAGAAATGATTTGAGCCATGAAATCAGGTCAAGATATTGTGTTTGAGTCTTTGAGATCATTCTCCAAGCCATTAGGTCATGTACTAGGTCAAAAGTCACTGATCAGTCATTCTCAATCAAAACCCTAATTTTGACAATTTTGCCCATTTGATGATTTGAATGCTTTCATTGAGGAATTATGATCAAACCTTGATCAATTGATGAATATGACTTCAAAATTTTAATGTTGGTCAATAATCATAAATTTTGAATGTATATTGACCACAATTAACTTTTTACCCAATACAACTGATTTTCAGTCATCTGCACAATTGACTGAGCAAATTTGTGGTGTAAGACTTGAAACTTTGTGTGAGCATTCTTGAAGATCTATAATGAACCATGGAAGTCAATTGAGGTATTAAAATTCCAATTGACCTTTAGAAAATCAAAACCCTAATTTATGGACTCGGTGCTTAGGAGGTGAGCTTGTCTGATCAACCCTTGAGAATCCTTGAGCATTTGAGATCGTTTATGAGAAGTGTCTTGAGAAAATGGGAGGGAAAATTTTGGGGTACAATAATTACCAATAAAATGAATGTGATCTTAGAAACAAATAGATTTTTAACATCCACATTCAAGATGAAAGATCTTGGGCTATTTGACACTATATTAGGGATCAAAGTAATACAAAATAATGGAGGTTATGAACTTAATCAAACACATTATGTTGAGAAAATGTGGGACAAGTTCAAACACCTAAACTTCAAGGAACTAAGCACTCCATTTGATCCTAGTGTCAAACTTCAAAAGAACAATGGAATAATTGTGACCCAATTGACATATGCAAGTGCAATTGGATGTCTAATGTATCTAATGCAATGCACCAGACCCGACATAGCATTTGCAGTTAGTAAAATGAGTAGATTAACTAGCAATCCAAATGATGAACATTGGAAGGCCATTACTAGTATTTTTGGTTATCTCCTAAAAACCAAAAATCATGGCCTTCATTATGGTAGGTTCCCTGTCATATTAGAAGGATATATCGACGCGAGTTGGATATCGAGTGTTGGAGATTATAAATCTATAACTGGGTGGATATTTATATTAGTCGTAGATGCGATTTCTTGGAAAAGCAAGAAATAAACTTGTATTACCCTTTCGACCATGGAATCAGAGTTTGTGGCTCTCGCATCCGCTGGACAAGAAGAAGAATGGTTGAGGGACCTTCTGTTGGAAGTTCCATTAGCTAAAGACAATGTTTCAAAAGTGTTGATACATTGTGACAGTCAAGACACCCTAGCAAGTGCATTCAGTGAAGTATACAATAGAAAGTCTAAACACATAGGTCTTAGACACTCTCTAGTCAGGAAATTGATTAAGGATGGGATCATTTCACTGACATATATTCAAACAAGCTATAATTTAGCATATCCGTTTACTAAGCCACTGGCCAGAGACTTAGTAAAGACTACCTCAATAGGTATGGGGTTTAAACTCCTTGAATAAGGGTTCCGACAATGATAGCAACCCAATCTGAAGTTAATAAATTTTAACCTAAGATTCAATGGGTAACAACAAGTCATTGATTTGGATGTTTGTACAACATTGCGTGAGAATGTTGACTATTACATAATCGAGGGTTGAGTTTTCCAACTCTTAATGAAGTTCTATATCGAGGAGGATGTGTATCTCAAGAAATAGATATAAATTGAACTTCACCTATATGAATTTCGAGATGGTGTCGTCTCAAAGTGGGAGTTGGAGTTTATCTCATGAAAAATTCATGAAAACAGGAAAAGCACATGACCAAAAATAGCGCTAGGAGAAAGATGTAGACGAAGAACCCTTAAAGAATGTGTATAAGGTAACATCGGTGTAATCACAAGAGATAACGGTTCAAAGCATATATACCTAACATTCTAATTAAACTTTGCATTATTCTTACTAAGGTTAAGTTCAAATCGAAAGATACCTAACTGTATTAACATTCTTTTGTTTCCTTTTATTTTTGAAATTGATCTTGTCATTATTAGAACAAGTGGGGGATTGTGATAAATTGTTAAAAATAATTAATAATTATGGTGTGTTCCAAAATGACAATACAAATATGTTAGTGAAGTTGTTCTTTTAATTTGAAAGTGGCAACACTTTATGAAGTGTTACAGAATGAAACCATGCAACTTTTGACTATGTTTCTCTAGGCAAACATTATAACCTTTGGTAAAATGGAATTATTTTACCAAGGATCATCGCCTTGTGAAACAATACTAATGAAGCTTATAAATGTTTTATTCTGCATTCAAAAAATCAATCATCAAAACTCGCATATCCTCTAGAAACAATTTCAACACTCTTCGCTACATTCGAGTTTTCATCCGTCTTGTGCAAACTCGAGAAGGCTGAATTATCCTGGATATTTCTGCATCAAAACTCTAAGACAAATCGAGAGTACTTGAAATACTGTAAGGAAAGTGTTTCGTACACGATTCCAGCCTAGATTCATTCAATTTCAAAACATTACATAATAAAACACTTCACACTTATCTTTTATGAGAAATTTCAATGTAACTCAAACGGAATTATTAATAAAAGAAACAAACTACTTCGTGAAGGAAGGAATCAAACGCTATTTGAAAGTCTCAAAAAAGAATTTAGATTAACGATGAATATACTCCAAGTCACGATATCTTAAGATATGTACGAGGTAAATTTCACAATGTCATTGCTGGAATAAATTGACAGAAGACAACTCAATGTAGTTAAAAATGTTATAGTTCTGTTCCATACTAAATTCGGAAGAAAAGTTTCAAGTTAGTGTTTGAGATGATCACTTGCATTAATAAGAAGAAATGTTTGGGAGTAGGGACACAATGAAGCCAGAGATGGAAGCCTAACAGATTTTGCATGTTAGTGTTTGAAGAAGATTTTGTTAAAGTCCCTCATTGAATTTTTAATTAATGTTGAAAGTGTTTATAAAACTCATATGTTCTTGTTATATTCTTGTTATGTTGTCAATTGGATAATGGGCTTCTAATATAATGGAATGGACTTAGGTACAAAATATTTATTTTAAAATTTATTTGTATTAATTAATTTTCTAACAATTTGCTAAAAAAATCTTAATTTAAAATTAAAATTAAAAATGATAAAATTAACTCTAAAAAATAATAGGAGGTCAATTATTTAAAATGTCTAAATTAAGGAGACCAAAAATACATTTAAGTCTAAATTAAATATTCACTGGGCATAATTATCGAAATTAATTCTTAAATCGAAGAGATTATCAAGATTAATTCAAATTGGAGAGAATGACAATGGACATCTCTTAAATAAATTCATGTTAAAAATATGAAAAATCAACTGTTGAACCAAGAATTGAATAACATAACTCAATTTCAATAACAAAATTGCATAAATATTAAAACGTGTCGAAGTGAATGATTCATTCTCTAAAAAGTTCTAATAAACACAGCACCTAAAAAATTATAAAAATATTGTAGACTAAACCGATTTTCTAAGTCTATTAAACTTTTTTTTTCAATTTTCTTTCGTGAACAAAGATAAATGTCCTACTCATGATATTTCTATTTCCTATATTTTAATATTTAAAATCTATATTCTATTTAAAAGCTTTGTTAATTTTTATAAAGAATAATTGTAAAACTACGTAGTTTTGACACTACCAAAAATAAAATGAGCAATATAGAACTGATTCCAGTTGTTTTATTTCAATGCTATCAAATCTAAGCAACAATGGAGGGTAAACATGGACCTAGGTGAAAAGAAACACCATAAGATCTATTGGGTCTTCATAATTTAATGGCAAATGAAACTTGAGCACAATGCACCACCTAATGGGCTAATATCATAGAATTTGTTCAACACTATTGAACAAATTATGCAGTGGTTTTGTAGCATACACGAAAACCGAGAATATCAAATGAATCACAATCATCAAACTCGAGGGACTATGAATTATGAAGCACAACTAATCAACGGTTAAATACACACAAAGTAACCAGAAGTCAATTATATTTCGAAATAAAAACTTTAACCATAGTTTCAAAATTAACAAAATACAACCTGAACAATCATATTCTAAGGCTCCACTGTTGTCACCTGTTGCCATTCCCCATCGACTGCTTCTTTCCATAATGTCACATTGTTATTTCCATCCGCCACAGCCAGTATATTTCCTGTCAAAGACCATGACACCCTCCAAACAGGGGTCTTGAAATCATGCAAAACTTTTCCTTCCCAATGATCCCCTTCTTTGCCTACAGTCCATATGATCACTTTCCCATCCTGCGATGCGCTAGCAATAGTAGATTTAGGAAGTCCCAAATTTGGCGCCCAAGCAACATCTCGAACCCAATCATTATGCATGTGAAGTGCAGGGAAGCAGTCCATCTTCCACTGTCCATCGCTAAGCTTCCACACCTTAACAGTATTGTCACAACCACCAGAACAAAGCTTCTGCACAGGATCAAGTAACCCTGAACCAACAAGAGCACCTGGCGCCATTGAAGGAGCCCAAGACACAGAAGTGACACCAACTGGATGAGCTTGATCAATTCTCGACGTGTCCCATCCACCATCTGCTCTTGCAGTGAACACCGATATATTCCCATCAGACGAAGCACAAGCCAAACAAAGACCCAATTCATGAGGCGCCCAAGCAACTGAATTCACAGACGACTTATGGTCATCAAATACATGAGCTTGTATCCACTCGTTCGGGTTACCCTCCTTCCAAAGAATAACACGCCCGTCAAAGGAACACGAAGCCAGCAGAGATCCAAACTTAGGATGAGCCCACGCAACCTCCCAAACAGGCCCTTGGTGACCAGTCAGAGTTGCTAGATGCTGAGAGGCCGAATTGCTCACCCCAATTATCTTAATTGTGTGATCCGAAGAAGCTGTCGCCAGCCTCTTTCCATAATAATCCATCGCAACATCGTGCACTGTGTCTTGATGACCGGTTTCAACCTTCTGAGAAGGCATATTTCTGCTATCAACATCAACATATCAATAATTTAGACAAGTTAGTTTCATGCTATAAAGTATAGACACCGACACTTACACGTCGACACCGATAATAATTTGAAAAAATAAATAAATTAAAAGTTTCAGACAGACACATTTTTTCCAGAGATGTGGATACTACGTAGATTTCAATTTCAAGCAACCATATCAAACATAACTAAACTAAAATCTCTTTCAATTTTCTGCTTCCAAATTCATCCTAGATCAAAGAGAATTAGGGATCAACATATCATAGACATAAGATTCAATCAAATCTATCTAAATAAATAGAATCAAAATCATCCAAATAGGATACTATTACTACTCAAGTTTCAAATCTATTTAGTTAATCTCGACGAATGGCCGCATCGCCGCCGAGCGGCGGGCAACATTGCGGCGGGAGAGAAAGCGTTAAATGGAGACGGAATGTAAAGATCTGGATTGAAATTCCGAAAAGATGGAGTGGATCGTATACAAGAGAGAGGGAGAGAGTACCTGAGAAAGAAAGAGGTGAGACAGAGAGAGTGATGGAACGGAAGGCGGTGACCGGGACTGCGGTGGCCGGAGCTGTTGGTGAAATAGGATATGAGATCCAAAAACAAAAACAATAACACTTGGACGGAATATGAAAGGAAAAAAAATCAATGTTGTTACTTTTCTTTCTTTTTTTATTAAATTCATTTATTGGGCTTTTTTTCTTACGAAATTTATTGGGCTTTCTAGTTCAATTATATAGCCGATCTCTGTCTTAGGGAATTTCTTTTCACACTCTATTATATAGAAAAATATTTTATAAATATTTAAAATACCTCTTAATCTTTAGAGTTGTATCTTCGGATGCACTCATGTTTTCACTCAAAACATTAAAACTGAGCTACATCAAATATATTTTATAAAATATAATTCTAAGATGCATCTCCAAAATAGTTCAATTTACACCTCATATATCCTTCTCTGAAACGACCATTTTTATCATAGATTGTTCTAAAGATGCATCTCTGTAATAGTTCAATTTACACCTCATACATCCTTCTCTGAAACACATAGTTTTACCATAGATTATTTCTTACATGCATCTCTGTATTCACACCAGACAGAATATGGAGATGCATCTCTTAACCAAGCGAGACAGTAAATTTCAAGTTTGTTTTAGTGATGCTGAGATGAAATTGACTATACAATAAAGGTATATCATAATGAATTAGACCATACAAAACCGATATGCAGAAAATGACACACACACACGCAGGCACGCGCGCAGCGCACACACACACACACACACACACACACGCAGGCACGCGCGCACACACACACACACACACACACACACACACACACACACACACACACACACACACACACACACACACACACACACACACACACACACACACACACACACACACACACACACACACACACACACACACACACCACACACACACACACACACACACACACACACACACACACACACACACACACACACACACACACACACACACCACACACACACACACACACACACCACACACACACACACACACACACACACACACACACACACACACACACACACACACACACACACACACACACACACACACACACACACACACACACACACACACACACACACACACACACACACTCACACACACACACACACACACACACACACACACACACACACACACACACACACACACACACACACACACACACACACACACACACACACACACACACACACACACACACACACACACACACACACACACACACACACACACACACACACCACACACACACACACACACACACACACACACACACACACACACACACACACACACACACACACACACACACACACACACACAACACACAACACACACACACACACACACACACACACACACACACACCACACACACACACACACACACACACACACACACACACACACACACACACACACACACACACACACACACACACACACACACACACACACACACAACATATATATATATATATATATATATATATATATATATATATATATATATATATATATATATATAAATCCATAATACACAACAAAGTCGAAATAAGTCAAAATAAAATACAAATGAAAATAAATCCAGAATATAAATACTATAATCTAATGTGTATGACGGACTCGATCTCAGGACCCCCTATTCCTACGTTGCCTCATATACTACAATGTTTCTCGTACCTCCACCATCATGGCGTCTACAATGTCCCTGGCCTCTGAGCCACCTGAAAGAGTCCTTTGTCAATACGCATCTTTCCAATCTCCATGATACAGTTACATCTAGAAACACATCAACATAATGATATGCCTTAGTCTGCCTCTCCTCTAGTATCTCTTGATGAGATGACCTCGGTGGATCTCTTGGAAAATTCTTTACCATATAAGGATGTGATACCATGAATAACCGTCAAATGTAACCGTCTACGTAGCTCTAGTCACTCTCAATTATGGTACTTCGTGCCTCCTCTAGTATCATATGATTAAGATAATCATCAAATATAGCATCCATATGCGTCGTAGTGGGAGAAGCAGACACAAAAGAGTCTCTGGGAATATTTTGCATGTAGTCAAACTAGCACATGACGCGCTCAGGTAGACGAGGAAACGTCTGAAGAATGGAAAAATACAAGAAAGGGGGTTTGAATTGGGGTTTTCAAATTAAAACAGTAGACACGTTGGTTATTCTGGTTCATTTGAACTCAAACTACTCCAGTCCACCCCGCCAATGTGATTCGCCTCTCTCAAACGAGGTTTTAATTCACTAATCAAAACTTGATTATACAGATATAATGACTACTGTCAATGTCTTCTTAAGTTTAAACCACAACTCAGTTTTCTCAAGGTATTACAAGATTAATCAATTAAAAGTGTGTACAAAGATGTTTTCTAATCAAAACTATATCACAACAGTGATGTATACACAATTGTTAAGCACAAGATAAAACTGGGGAATAATATTCTTCTCTTTCAGAGCACAATAATGTTGTATAATTTCTTCTTCAAGTCTTGTTTACATAGGAGATGCATAAGAGACATGAGAAGATGTTTTTGGAAGGTTGATAAAGTGTTGTTAATGCACTTTCCAAAAATATAGATCTTGTCTTGGTTCAGCCGTTACTTTTTTATTTGTAATGAATGATTTGTAACGCATTAGAACAATGC